ACAAAATAACTTTTCATGGGATCAATAAGATGCTAAAGAACCCATTTCAAATCAATAACCATATCGAAATATTTACCGTTTTTAAGTTATAAAGCAAAACATTTCGAGCGCCCTTGGCCCTTAATTTGAGGGACCAGCCCCTTTTAATGATGTCAAATGATAGAGCTTAAAATTATGCACAATATTTGTTCAACATGTCTTAACAAATTATTTTTAGTTTAAAAGATACATCAGGAAATAGATGTCGATTTTTGCGCTTTTAGGCATTCTCATTTTTGACCCCTATCTAGCACCGTTTTGAGCGCAGAAATTGAAAAAGAAAAACCGATGTGCACAACTTCAATTCTTCTAGTATTTAAATGCAGTAGACATTCTGCTCCAGCTTTTGTCGTTTCTGAGCCTTTGTCTGGAAACAAACAGCATCAAATTTTCATTTAAAGGGAAATAACTCAAAAGCGGAAGGGAATTTTTGAAATGTATGAAAACATTTAAATTGAGTTTTGTAACGTCCAAAAACTCTGAAAATTTGAGCAAAATTCGTTAAGAAATGAGCGAGTTACGAGGTCTCAAAGTTGGCGTCTAGGAAAAAAAAAAATAATAGGAATAATCTTAACCATCAGAATCAGCAGAAGGTCTTCCGCCTGAGCGGAAGACCTTAATAAACCAGTCGTAGCAAAATCACTGAACAATATTACATTTAAAATTCGTCCTTGGGGGCATCTGTTCGATAGAATGTTAATGTCAATTGGAATTGGTTTGAGGTATGGACGAACAAGGCAAACATTATGTCTATTTTAAAAGTATACAAGCTTTATTTCTTTCATGAATTTAGCAATAAGAGTTAAGTTCGTAATATTGTAAGGTATGAATTTATTGCATAACGGGCTAACTATCGTTAGAGCCCTGGCATACCCAACACACTCCTTAAGTATATGAATCATATGTGTGATATTACACTGGACGAAATTTTTTTCGGGGAGATACAATCGTCAGGTCATAAAACTGTATTTTAGGGTGTAGTATGTCCTTTCTCCATGACTTTGTTTCCCCAAAAATATGTATTTTCACTCATACTATGAAAAAAATCAAAGAATTGTTTTAATAATTTTTTTTTCAACAAATCTTAATGAAGCACTTTCATTAAGTTAGTAACCAAAATCCTTTTAAAACTTACCCACAGAAAGACTCTTTGGACACATTGTTATTATTTTCTGTGAGATCCTGTCTCGGGAGTCCCATTAGGGTAAGCACTGTCTCAGTATAGTTATCAAGCTTCTTGTTCAGGCTGTTCATACACTGTCGCAAGTTCCTTAGGACTACAATGAAGAACATTGATTTTTGTAATATAAAATTTAAACCTATAAAAAAAAAGGTTATAAATTTTGAACAAACACTCATTTACACGTATTTTGATCAAATACGCACTAGGGTATATAGGATTGATGCAAAGACTTGTTTCTTTTGTCTTGTACATTGACAGGAATACTGTTCGGTCACCACATCCTGGGGAATTTAAAATATCCAACTCGTCCACACAATCAACAAGTTCCTGGACATACCTGTAAACAAGATTGATAAATATCAAAGGTCTAAGAAGGGGCAATTTGCATGTTAGTTAATAAAATATGTTCTTGCAAGAACTACGAACTCTAACTCTTGATTCCCGCCTACATTTTGTACCCATTAAATTCAATTTTAATGGCAATTTGGCCAATAAATCTTTGTTTAATACAAAGAATAGTTCTATATTAATTGATTAATCATTTTATTTCCAGTGCTAGATAGTAAATTATCATGAATTCTAGCTGTTGAAAAAAGGGGGGTAGGCGATATTTTCTGGTGAAATCGAACTTTCAAGAATCACCATATAATAGTCTTAAACATCATAAAATGTATCTCGTATCGTTTCTTATGTTTTACGCAAATAAATAAATCATATATAAATAAATAAAATATAATTATTTAGTTGTAAATAGCTTTAAAATGGGTGAAAAATCAGCATTTTTTTTCGTTTTTTGTCTACAAACATATGTTCCCCCCCCACAAGAAACACAAAAAGCTTTGGCATAAATTTGTTAAATGACAGTCCATATTACCTGTAAAAAGGAATTTTTGTTTCACGGGGGGGAAAGATGTTTTAAAAATATTTTCCGTTTTCCGTTGATTTCTATAGTGAAAAACACAAGTTTAACCACAATTATAGAGTTATCTCTCTTTGGTATCCCAAATAAGTAACGTTTTATGAAAATTCATATAAAAATCTATAAAAATTTCGAAAATCGTTCGAATATGTTAACTTTTGAGAATTGACTTAGAGGTAGGCGGGAGAACAATACTTTCGTTCGTGGTTCTTTGCCCAAGTTTACATGAGAACCTTCGCGAAATGCTTACTTGCAATAATCGGTGAAGAAATTTTCTCCAAGGTACATATTTCCTTCATGGTCAGATGCATTCGATGGTTCAGAAAAACAGGCAGACAAGCCAGGGCAACCGTCCTCAATGTGTGTATCGTTTATGTAATCGTATGTAGCATTTAAGATTTCAAAGTCATCCGGTTTTTCTTCATAGATGTCGATATCATCTCGTCTCATCAAAACATTACCTACATGTTCATAAGATAAACAAATTAAAGAAAAAAATTGCAATTTAAAATTGGAATTCTCAAAAAAGGATTGAAATCTCAAAGATAGATATATTTTAAAAGTCTTTGAAAATATTAAAAAATTGATAATAAACTTATTATAACATTATAATTTTTAAAAACTCTTCTAACCTTCAAGAGGAAAACAAATCATACATCTATAACATTGAAACAACTGAATTTATAAGCCTTTAAAATTTCCACTGACAAACTTTCCTTAGCGATCTCATATATGTACAATACTCCGTATTTTAAATCAAAAACTCTCATTCTTTGTGCTTACCCACGGCGTAACCAAAGTATGCCGAACTAATGATAAACAAGACCCAGTAACTAACGAACATCTCTTTGTTCATAACTGTTGTCCGTTTGAGGCATGACTGTTGCAATTTCCAAATGCTGCAATTTATAACTGCAGTAGATTATTAAAATCGTTGAACAAAATTATTCAAATCTAATGATTTTCGACTGCAATTACGATTTATGGAAAGGTCAAAACCTACGAAAATGACAATTTGACTTGGTAACATAAATCCTATCCACTCCTTTTTTAAATTACTGGCGTCTGTTACGATTATTATAGATATATATTTTGTTCGTTGATTCTCTCCTCTCGTTTTAACTTTTTTGGACTAAAAAAATATCATTTGGCGACGATTTTATGGATTTTGAGTTGAACACAATTGTGTCCAAGAATTTGACAGCCCTGGCACCAACCATTTAAAAATTTGGTCAAGGTTGAAGATTTCAAGAGTAGGTCAAGGAAGTTGAAACGTACCCTGAGAAAACATCTTTTCACCAGTAATATCTGAAAAAACTTTAGCTCAAATTATTCAGAAGTTACGGTCAAGGTTTAAAATTTTCCTGAGATAGGTTAAACTCCAAGGCCAGGAGGTCACCTTGAAAATTCCCAAGAAATGTTTTGTCACAAGGAAAATATAAAAAAGTCTAAGCACCAATAATTCTGAAAGAATGGGTAACATTAATTCATTTCAAAAGTATTTATGTGTTGGTACCAAAATTGAAGAAACATCTTGTCACAAGGGGCAACCATATGACATTACCCCCCGCACAATCATTTTCAGGTTAGTGTAAGGTGTTTTCCAAAAGTACGTCACACTACAAGAATACACAGGCAACTTAGCCACATATGATTCTCATATGAGTATCATATGATTCTCATATGATTGGTTTCATATGAGAATCATAGAAAAAGGGCATCATATGTGAATCATATGAAGCAAATCATATGATTTACATATGATCCACATATGTGAATCATATGAAAATAACTACATATGATTTTCATATGAATGATTTAAGTGTGTTTCAAGCCATTTACATATGAGAATCATATGAAAAGAGCGTCATATGTAAATCATATGAAACACTTGTGTGTGTTTCAAGCCATTTACATATGAGAATCATATGAAAAGGACATCATATGTAAATCATATGAAACACTTGTGTGTTCTTTTTCAATATTTTACACATTCTTGTACACATTTAAAAATCAGATATTTCTGCTTTAGATGAAAATTCATTACATTACAATGATCTATCTTCATTGGTTAAATATTTTAAAATATCTTAAAATGCTTACACAACTTTTTTGATAAAATTATTTTCATCAAGAGAAATAACTTATTTTTCACAGTTTACATTCTAAACAAGAAAATATACAAACAAGTCAGTAGCATTTGTCGATACATGTATTTAACATATTCTAACATGAGTACAAATTATAAGATTTCAGCAAAATGATTTAGTAGTTAAACATGTATACTGTACATGTACAAATGAATAACATAATTAGTTCATGTATAAAAATACCATATGACATGAAAGTGTCCAAAGCAAAATTGAAATATCAGCAATAACATTTGTCATATATTCTCTATTGTAAATTTATGAAAAATCAAGTTATTGATTATTCCAGCATACAATAAGAATATGGGAAATTTTCACAGCTCAAATTCAGACAAGATTGTGTACATCCTCCCCATTTCATAATTATTCCATATATTTCCTTGTTTTTTTTCCTTCTGTATCTTTCAATTTTTTCAGTTGTCCTCCCTTTGATCTTCCATGACCATTTTGAAAATCTCTTTGAACTGTACCGTACCAAAAATGAATATCCACCACTTCTCCTCTTCCTGAACAATTTCTTTGTGGCACAGAATGGTCTCTACAAAAAATTTCAAAAGTAAAAATAAAATAATTCTTAAATACTATGAGTTATAAAAGTTACTTATGTATAATCAGCAAACAAATGTATGCCCAGTTCACCAACACTGATATGATACAAGATAAAACTAACGTTATATATGTTATACTAGGTGTTTTGAGGAATCCTATGATGTAATTTGCAAAACAATTACACTATTGAAAGATATGCTTCATAATCATAAAAAGCAATTTTTTGTTATTTTGACAATTAAATTTGGAATGTTCAAACAGTATATATTAATTCAGATTGTCAAAAAATTAAGAAGATTCTGATACAAATACATGTATATTATTTTTGGACAAAAAATACTACAGACAAGTAGACAGTCAGAAAAACAGACATTGTGATTCCAAGATATCCCAAACTTTAGGGAATTAAGACTATAACAAAGTTTATTTAACAGTGTGTAGTTACCTTAACTTTGAAGCAAGCCTTGGATCTTGGGATTTGTTCTTTATCTTATGAGAGGCTGACTGTATATTGAACCTGTAAGACAAATACTCACAGTCTAACACAGTAGATATTTTCTAAGAATACATTTAATTAAAACTTAAACTATTAAAAAGAGAGAGTACACTACAAGTTTGTAGGTTCTCTATAGTCTTAAATATATCTAACATTTAACCCGAAACTATAGGCACGCGCACCATTCACTAGTGTTGGGGGGCAAAATAATTGTCAGTCAATGAATACATAGATGTAAATATTCAATGGATTAGCTAGTTGATGTTCTTTCAACACACATGCACATGTACATGTATTTATTACTGTCACTGTTATAAATTTTTAGTTGAAATTCAAAAATCCAATTTATCCCCCCTCTCCCCAAAAAGTTATTGTATACTATATAGTTTCATACCTTTACAGCCAGCAAAATCTATTCATACTTTGCATATTTTAAGTGCACTAGATTAAAATTATAATGTAGAATAAAATTTCTAGAGTATTGAGTTGAGTTGAATTTATTTTTGATGAAGCCATGCAAACAATGGTGTAGAATTATATAAGAACAAAAAAAAAGAACTTTACATATAATTAATTATTTTTTTTATAACAAATTCTTTTGAATTAATGTACATTTAAATTTATCTTTTGATATATATTATTGAAATTGCAATTTTACTTCAGTATAACAAGGACAGATAAGTGAACACTGTTTCATATGATTCTCATATGATCACCGTTTCATATGATTCTCATATGATCACAGTCAAAACATTCGTATGAATTTTACCTGAGTATAAGAAGGACAAATTAGTGAACATTGTTTCATATGATTCTCATATGATCAGTTTCATATGATTCTCATATGATTATTGTCAGAATATTCATATGATTCTCATATGCAGGATCTTTCATATGAGAATCATATGTATATTACTTCATATGATTTACATATGTGTAATCATATGATTCTCATATGATTTGCCACATATGATTCTCATATGATTGTATATACATACACAGCTAATTGTGCCACGTACGTTTCACGTATGTTAAACGTATGTGACACGTACGTGACTTCACGTACGTTTTCCATGAAAAAGATACCACGTACGTTATACGTATGTTTTCACACGTGTGAATATCATGCGTGTCACGCATGTTAAACGTACGTATTGCCCACCATACGTTACACGTATATTGCACACGTACGTTACTCATACGTTTCACATATGAATAACGTACGTTTAACGTGTGTGTAACATCTGTTTCTCATAACATGTTTAATGGGTTTATTATTTGCATTGCTCATATTGTTAATGTATAAATACCATACAAAAATGTGTCAAACCATGGTTAAACACGTTTTGAACATTTTTTCACATATTGTAAACGTTGCTGAAACAAAAATTACGTGCAATTTAAATATTCAATTCATGCATTTGACATAATTTCTCTCAAAGGCATATTTTCTTTTCATCGTTGAATGATCCACTTTCTGGTTATCCTTCACTTTGAATTTCCTGATCCTTATTCTCTTGAAGCAATCACAACAAAAGACATATTTAGATTTAAGCCAAATTTAATGTTGAGTATGTTAACATCAATTCATTCTTCTCCAGTTCTCTTTTATCTGTAAAGAAAAGAAAATATTAAATGCATGGAATAAGAGAAAACCTATTTTTTCCCCTGAACATTATTATTATCCACATATTAATCTTGGTTGATTCTCTGTAGAACTAAATATAAATACTAAATAATTAATTTTTTAGTATTCATAACTATGATCTTTTACACTATTTTTTTCACTATATCCCCAAATATCTACCTTGTAGTTTTCTTATCTAAAATTCATTACATAGCATTGATTTTTGGGTGAACTCAGAAAAAACTGTACATACTGATACCCCATATGCCAGCTAGCTTATGGTTCAAGTTTCCCAAGTGCAAGTCAAACTCCAAAGTCAAGGTCAAAGGTCAAAGTTGTTGATATCCAAGGACGGACTTGTCACAAAGAGTAAATATGTGAAATATGAAAGCCCTACTACTATCAGCTCAAAAGTTATGATCAAAGTTAGTTTTTTAACAGTGGGTTAAACTAGAAGTAAAAGGTCAAATATTTTAATTTATACCCATTGAAAGGTTTTGTCACAATAAATATACAAGTGAAGTATGAAAGCCCTTGCAACAACTGTTCAAAAGTTAAGGCCAAGATTCAAGTTATGAAACTTTCTTAAAAGTGAATCATACTCCAAGTTCAATTCAAAAGGTTAATTTGGTGTACCAATACAAAAGTATTGTCACTATGAATACCCAGACATTTCAACAGAGCTATAAAATACCATAAGTAGATCATGGTGACCTACTTTTTGGTCGACATTCTCCAAAGATGCCTCAACTGACAAAGTTTAACAATTCTAGGCCAATATAGACTTCTTTTGGTTTTATCTTCCTGATTATCTCCCCTTGTATAAGGTCCAAATCTGTGAAAATTTGACAATGATTGTCCAAGGGGATCTTGAGTTATGACCCACATTCTAACAAGAGGCCCACCTGTGCAATTTGCTAGGAAAAATCACACATCAGATCAGAACTGAAAGTTTGCTTGGGGGGGGGGGGGGGGCTTGAATTTTACCCCCCCCCAGGGGGTCATGATTTGAACAAACTTGTATCTACACTACCTGAGGATGATTCCCTATAAATATCACTAAGCATGGCTTTAAAGTACTTGAAAACAAGATTTTAAAAGGTTTCCCTAGATATTCCTATGTAAAACTTTGATTGGCCATTTTAGCCCCACCCTACCCCCGGGGGTCATGATTTGAACAAACTTGGATCTACACTACCTGAGGATGATTCAACATGAGTTTCATCTTTCCTGGCCTAGTGGTTCTTGAGAAGAAGATTTTTTAAAAATGCCATTAATTTTTTCTAATTCATAATTATCTCCCCTTGGAAAAGGGCCCAGCCCTTCATTTGAACAAACTTGAATCCCCTATACCCAAGGATACTTTGTAGCAAGTTTGACTGAAATTGGCCCAGTGGTTCTTGAGAAGAAGATAAAAATGTGAAAAATTTACAACAACGACAACGCCAACGACAACAACGCACAAATTTTGATCAGAAAAGCTCACTTGAGCCTTTGGCTTAGGTAAGCTAAAAAGTTTATGCACACCACACAAATGGCCGTAGCATTAGCTCTTTGAGCAATTGGCACAGAAGAGCTAAAAACAGTGTACATGTACACCTATATACTGGCTATGAGGACAATAGCTAGTTTATCATCCCCCAAGACAACAACTATTCCCCAAGATGCAGACGAGGGAAATAGTTTTGCTGTTGAGGGAGATGATAAACAAGCTATTTTCCGAATAGTAAGTAAATAGGAGTCTTATTATGGCACCTGATCCCACCTCTGATGTTTCGGGGGTCCGTGTTTGCTCTGCTTTTATTTTGTATAGTTTTATGGACTTTGAGATTGAATACTGTTCGTTATCTCCATTATTAATCCTTCTATTATATACTGAAGCTGACTTAATTATATGTAAGGTCCGATCTGGATAAAACCAGAAGAGTTACGAAATGAAAAATTGAACTTACCTTCTGCATTAATCTTTAGCTTGGCATGGACTCATCTGTTTTTGTTTGTGTTCCAAGTGTATACTTTTTGTCCTTGAGGTTAAAAAAAAACATATGAAAAAAAAAAAAATAAACGACTTTCACATTAAATTTTTCAAAAGTTATTCCCCTTTGCAGGGGCAATCCAGCGTAAGGCCTTGTTTTCCCTCTGTAACCTTACCAAATTTATTGGTCGGTATACGTATTTAAAAAAAAATCTGTAATCAATGAATATCGTTCATTAAGATTTTCATGTTGCCCCAAACTTCGGCAATACAGGTACAGATCTAAATTGTTCAATAACGTTTGAAGATTGAAAATAATAACAGGTAACTTACAAAGGACAAAGTGGGAAAAATGAGAGTTATACCGACAAGGGAGATAACTCTTAGTAGTGTGAAATTCGTCAAACTTGATTGCATTTCAAATTTTACATGAGAAGCTTCAAGTTACATGTACATGTAGTACATTTGTATTTGCAAGTCTAAAAGCAATATGATAAGAAAATTTTATTCCTTTTTAAAAGTATTACCATATATTCAAGATCATACTGGTTAAACTTTAATAATCTGTTTTGGAGTCCATTCTAGGCATATAGGTGTTTACAAAGATGAGCTTCAGTCACCATCCTGGAATGCATATCTAAAATCACATAAAAATTCTCAATCTCAAACACAATTTATATTTCATAAGGATTAAAAGGGCACATATGTAAATCAAAACTGTTACACCATTATTGCACTCAAAGATAATAATTTCCTTTACCATTAACCCTCTTAGTGCCAGAGGGGTCATATATGGGCTCTACCCACTGGCTGCCACAGGGGTCATATATGTCCCATCAAAACTATTTTATTTATTAAGTTTTGATCTATGCAAGATTTAAGTTCATTATTCAAGAATTTATTCTTAAGCATTTTTTTGCTTCAAATTATAAAAATTGTATATCAAATATCTTGTATCCGTGCACATAATATTATACTGAAGTAGGCTACAACTGTAATACGTTGACGACGTAAAAGTCGCATTGATGACGTCAAAAACGTCACAATAGGTAATGGTCTATAAGTTATAAAGGTAATGAATAAAACAACTATTGAACTCTCTTTCTTATTAAATAACTATAGATTCACTTTGAGAACTACAATGTATATAAAAAAATGTATAAATTAAAATAAATATTAGCGAGAAATATGATTATGACTTCATAAATATATCATTCTATATTTCAAGGGAAGACTTGAAATTTATCCTTGTTAGCAATAAAAAAAGTATCATTATTTGCAAAGTATGATCAGAATACTAGAATTGTCTTTTTCCCCCAATAGAAAAACTAATAAAATTTAAGATGTTTCCCTTTTGTGTTATTGAAGGGCTAAAAATTTGATCCCCGGGGAGGGGGGTGGGGGGGTGATAAGAATTTGGAATGAAACATTTTGCCTTTGAAAATTTTGCATGTATGTATCTCTTCTCCACTAATAGGAATTATGAAAAGTTTTCTATAAGAAAAAGAAAACATTTTTTAAAAAACTGTCCCTTAGAAATATATATTCTGTCCTGGAAGGGTATTAGAATATTATTTAAACAATCTGACTCAAGAAAATCATACTACAACGCCCCCCATCCCCCAAGAATGTTAGTTTTCAAAGGTAAATTTCATAAATATAATAAAGAACGCGTTTCGTGACTGACTGAAATTTTGAATTGACAGAAGTCTAGGATTGCTTAATGCTGGAGGCCAGAACAGGAAAATTAGATTATGAATATTTATCTGATTAGAAATCAATCAGAAAACATTTATGTATATTTTGTGAAAAAAAATCTACTCTAACTCCTTGCGTCGGATGCAAAAATAATTTTAAATCAAAGTACTGAAAGTACTGTTAGACGGAGGCTTCATGTATGAGAGAACACAAAAGAAATATATGTGTCATACATTGCTGCAAAGAATATTATGAGAAATAATGTGTAGTTTTTTTTTTTCAATTAAACATTTTTTTTAAAGAATACTCCAATATTCATGAGGTTTTTGGGATATTATAATTTCATCTTTGTAATGTAAACTTCGCCTTGATTAAAGTTCACTGTTGTTTAGATGAGATACTTTCAATATTAAACCTTTCAACGTAAGAAACAGTAATTGACTAGGCCTGGTTGACATATAACTTAGACGGGCTAACTTTTTATCCCAGTCTCATTTAAGGAATACATAGTGGAAAAGTGAGACTGAGATCAAAAGTGAGCTTGTCTAAGTTTTATGTCAACCAGGCCCGGTTTGATGAATGTAGGTTTAGTATGTTCTAGTCATGAGCCCAATGGCGGAATTAAAAGGGGCCCCTGGCCCTCTCCCTTTTGAGTCCTAAATACGCAATATTTGATAAATGAGTGTTTTAATTATGGCTGTGGGCCCCTTCCCTGACCTCAAACTGGTCCCCCTATTTCAGAATTTCTGGATTCAGCACTAGGCCTCAGCCTGTCAGGAGTCTCCATATTTCAAGATATCTTATTTATAGGTCACAGAGACCTACTGTTAACATAATTATGACATGTAACAGCTACCAAAATCAAAATTTCTCGGCCTTATTGTAATAATGTTATGATATGAGCTAACATGGAAAAAGAAGCAGCCAGGTAATTGGACATGAACAACTTAATATAGTACAGTTTGTCTTAAACCTTTGTGATACAAAATGGGGTGACCTAGCATGAAAGCAACACAGAATTTTCTTTAAGTAATGCAACTTCATTAACATGCAATAAATGTTCGTGCCAGAACACAATTTTTTGAGTGGAATAAAATATACTTTCTTACTTTATGTATACAGAACAATCAAGTTCATAAGACTTGCTATTTCACAAGTTTAAATTGTTTTTGGAGAACTGGAGTATTGCTTACAATAACAAAGATATATCTTGACAAATTTGACAACCAATATTTCTGGAATTATTAAATGTAGTATTTTATCATATGACAGATTAACCCAAAAAATGTCTTTCTTAACTCGTATACCAGTGGAAATGGTTGTCCTTTTCAGTTTATCTGTTTAAAACAATCATTAACAATGAGACATGATTACAAATTACGTAGAGAAAAGTTATAAATATATAACTATGATTTCTGCTTTTCAGTAACTCTGTTAAAACAATCACTTTACCAATGATGTAGGTTAAAAAAAATTGACATGAATACCAATGATCAGAAATACATGTAATCTTGTATATAAAAAATAATTAAAGTTTGGGATGTGAAAGAGGTAAAACACAAGTATCAAATGCAAATAAGGATCAACAATATGACAATAAGACAACTTATTTCAGAAGATATGATTTTTAATTATTAATTAGGATATTATGTGATAAATCAGGTAAATCCTATGAACCAAGATTTGGGTTGTACCCAAGGGTCAAACGTTACAAATGCATTTTGATCTCAATGTCAAAGTTGCCGTTTGTTTCTCTCTTATCTAATGTGAGGGTACCCCAAACACTCAAACCGCTTGTAAAAAAGTGTAAATCTATTTTCATGTGCTTCCTGAAATTATACATAGTATCAAATAATAAAATTCAAAACTAGACTGTTAATATTCATACATATAAAAATACTATGCATTTGTTTATTCATCGATCCTTGTCAGATTAAAAAACTCCATGAAACCTATTGATGCAAGCGTCAAAAATCGGCCGCAAACCAATTTATCGGTCCTTTCAAAAAGAAATTAGAAAAGGAATGAAAATGAGATTACAAACAACAATCAAGCACAAAAAATTCCATTAAAACTGAAATGCTTGATCTATTATTAAAATATCTTATATTATACCTGCGACATAAAACATATGCATGCGACATAGCAGGATTTTCTTCAATACATAATACAGGTACATCTGCGTCTCCACACGTAGTTTGATACACAGGCGAGTTCTGGTGGAAGTTTTTACAATTAAATATAAAACTAAAGTTTAAACTTATCTGTAACTAGAGATAGTTTTTACTTTAATAAAAGAAGCAATTGATAAGTGGGGTTCCTCGATCACTCTCCGCGGATGTTAAAGCCCCCCCCCCAACTCCCTCTAGATCCGCCACTTAATTTCTTCTCGTTCTAACCGGCGGGAAAAGGCTCAGCATATTGTAAAACATGCTTTATCATCGTCTGTTGGAACAAAATCTCCTAATATTCTGTCTGATAAAAAATTAATAGTAAATCACATTTTTTTTACATATTCCGTAGGAAATGTATTTATATACACGTCATTTAAAAAAATATTAGACAAATCCTGTTTATTTAGAAAAAGTAGAACTGTTTGTTTATACGTGTATGTGACGCGATCTTTGTTTTAGACTATGCCTATCCTTGCGGTCGGTGTAACGCCGAGTCGCTCTAAATATAGAATTCTCAAGGTAATGAAAACAATTCCACCGATAGATGGTGCTTGGGAAATCTTTCCTGTTTACATTCCATGGGCAAGACAATCCCTATACACGGAGGCTGTCATACAGCCTCCGTCTAAAAATGGATCGAATAGTAGAAAAACCCAATCAGGAGTACTACAAGTGGATCTTATTACCCATGGACATCGATTTAAAAAAAAAAACAAACAAACAAAAAGTGTATGTTTAGATATTGTTCATCTTCAACATGTTCAATAAATTGTTGATTATCATGAAGAAAAAGAGTAAAAGATTTCGCCTCACCGACCATTGTTACTTATACTTGTAGGTAAATCTGTTTATGTGTGACGCTTCTGATTTCTTTATTTCTTTAGCTCCAATATAAGACAATATTACAGTCACTGTGGATTAGCTACTATTTGCAAGCGTGTACGTCAAAGCATTCACATTTACATCCCCCTTAGAAAGGACAAAAAAGGAAAAAGAGAAAAATGTTTTTTAATACATTTGTTTCAGTATATTCAAATATAAATTCAAGATTTTACATTATCCACACACTGTACACTCTGGGACACAATCAAAGACTCCTTAATGTTGTCAATCCCCCCCCCCCCCCCCCGCATTGTAGTACCTGTTAATGCTGCTCCAGACCCCTTTGCTTGAGTCAGAAAATCATCTACATTATCTTTGCCCAGTTATACCACTGAAATAAACATATACAACCAACCTGTTAATTTTTTAAACACTTCATGCAAGTAAATTAAAATTTAATTATAAAGATTAAAATTTTCATTT